AAGAAGATCCGGAGCTTAACACACGTGCGCGTGCACACACACGTGACACGCACTAGTAAACATCATATATATTACAAATCACAAATATTTTCAAATAAGACTCACAAACCTGAGTCAACACCAGTATTGTCAAAGCTGGGGATCTGTCGCGGTACCTTTTGCCAAAAAAAGCATCCAGAGAGTGTAGAAGAAGCCAGGCACTGTAGAAGAAGCCGGCTGCTGAAGGGTTTCTTCAGCGGTGGAGGCTCAGGCAGGCAAACTACTGCCAGCTGCTCCCTCTCTGTTGGACTTTGGTACTGCATGTTACTTCCACGTGTTAGATCTGGGGCTTTTCATAAAACATTCGGGGCTTGAGCCCAAGTAGCCGGGCCTAACGCCGCCCTTGCATCCAATTATTTAAACCATGGACATGAATAATAAATCCTCACAAGAGAAAACACGGAAACTTTATTGGGATCATAACTCTACCCATTAAGCCTAATTTATACTTCTCTGTCTGCATCAGTACCATTGACATATATACTGGACAATTCATGTCCATAGAGCTCCGGACCCCACGTGACTCTCAGTTAGTAGACGCCATATTGGCAGGTAAAAGAAGCTAATCAAACACGGATCGTAAACATGAACGGGATCGGCTTGGATTTTACTTCGTCGGAGTTTACTTCACACTTTAAAACCGAAGAAATCGTTTTATATAATCAGAAATTAATTAGACTAACCATCTCCGACCCTTACCGTGCCCTGGGATACTTTTTAAAAACGCCAGAAGCTGTCGGAGCGGACTTCTTACCGGACCTGGCCGGGGAACCCCTTGGGATTCCCCCGGAGGAGCTGGCTCAGGCGGCTGGGGAGAGGGAAGTCTGGGCCTCTCGACGCTACTGCCCCCGCAACCCGACTCCGGATACGCGGATGAAAATGGATAGACAAATAACAGGTTTACACGTAAGTAGTTTAAATAGAGTGCTGTGCTGTTTGAATTTATAAACTGAACGCCAAGAGAAATTACTAGTTTGATTGTTTTCCGTGAATAAAATAAATATGTCAGGCAGGAGCGTCTCAGGATCTGTCTGAGATCTGTCTCGGTGAGACAGATAATAGCAATCCAAAGTGCTCTTTATGTGTGATCTGACAATTGATCAACCATTGCTTAAAAATTAAATACATCTTAACCGGTTAATTGCTGTGATCATAAAACACGTAAACGGCAGTACGCAGAACTCACGAGGCAACGTTTTACGTGACGTTTACTTGTTGCTATGAGTAATAAGACAGAAAAAGCCACGCCAAAATAAGTTTAGGAAGCCCACTAAGAATCATAATAAAAGCATTTAAAATAAATTCCATACACAGTTGAAGAAACGTTGGTTTAAGTACCTGATATGAAGTATTCGCCGCATAAGCGAAAACCTTTACTCTCGGGGTCCCACAGCTTCATTTAAGCCCGGAGGCTAGCGCGTTTTATCACAATCATCCAACGTTTGTGGCGCTCCGGATCTTGGGGAATCGTGTAGATGGCTCATTCCTTATGTCGTCCGTGTCTGTTCTGCATCCTGGGGCACAACAGGAATCTACCATATTTCCTGTCTGATTGAGTTTTCTGACAATAACAAATAGTCCAGCTGCTGGCTTCTACCTGCCAATATGGCGCCGTTTCGATTTGAACTGTTGCATGCCGGGAGAAGTGACGCCAACTCCCGGAGCTCTATTGGCTCGTATTACAAGTTTTTAATCTGAAATGGGAGGTGAAAACTCAACATGGAGAGCTGTTTCCATGTAAAATTGTCAAATGTTGATGAATATTCAACAAATTCTCTGTATCTTTGTTCTGGACAGTTAGAGGTTTTATATTTTATACAATATATTTGGCCAAAATAAAAACAACATTATAAAAAAAGAGCATCTTCTTGTTTGTGGCCCATCCAGTCTGGCTCAAGACTTGCACACATCTTATAATTTGTTGGGATTGCTCCGTATCTCCCTTTCTGGGTCTCCTGCTCTGAGAAGTAATCCCACCCTGAAATCTGACAGGACTGGGTCATTTGCTATTTTCTCTGAGACCCTAAAGATTTGAAATTGTGTTTTTCAGGCTGTCGTTGTGCATTGCAGGGAGTGTGAAGCTCATCCGTGTTGTTAACTGCTTCATGTTTACTCCTGAAAGAGAAAAAGGAATAAAACGTCATGTTAAAGTAGGCTGGGGGTTCCATTTTTACTGTTGTCTGTCTTGAAATGTTAGATATTTCCAGCAGTCTATTTACTCCAACATGGGCTTACCCTTTCTGTAATTTAAGATTTTTCCACATTTGAATTATTTTTCTGCAGGATTTGGTTTATTTTCCACCTTTTGATTTATGCTTTCATTTCATATATAAAGTTTTGAGCGTTATGCATGAAAACTGAACAGTTATGTGAACAAACTAATCTGTTGGATATCTAATGAGGCATTTTTCATCTGAGAGACCCTCCACCCCAACCACTCTCCCAATTGGGAGGGCCGACTGAGGGCCGACGATTCGTAAAAATGCCAGGGACGAATTTTGGTCCCAGTCCACCCCTGCTCCTAGCCTTCATTAGTGTCTATAGGAGTGATTCATCACAAAATTAAACAAATCAGTTGTGTTCAAGGTCAAGGTCAAGGTCACATTTGTTTCTAAAGCACATTTATTGCTTCCGCAACCCAAAGTGCTGTACAACACAGAAGATAAAATCATAAAAAAGCATAACTAAAAACAATAAAACCATAAAAATCAGCAAGTTAGGATAAAAACAGCATTACATCATACAATTATAAAATCAATAAAAGGTCACAAGGTCAAGGTGTTCATGATAGGCTTGGGCGGTATCCAGTCTTATAGAGTCTAGCTTCCTCCACATTTTACCAAGGTGTATGGTATTACAGGGAATAATTTAAAAATGGTGACGCAGGGATAGGGTGACGTAAAATGATGACGTAGGCCTCAAGTGGCATTACCAAGCTGTTAGTTTGGACCTTCATCGTTCAGAAACTCAATAACAAACACTATTACTATAACAATAACAACATAACACATATATATTAACACATTTTTCAGAAAGCGGCTTTAAAAAAGGATTTTTCACCTGAAAAACTAGCATGTTTACCTTTTCTGGCTTCAACCTCTGACTGCCGAAAACCCACTTCGATGAGGCTGTGGCACCGACATCCGGGTACTTTGGTGTTAGTCGCGACATCTGGGGGAGGCTGGCTGCTTATTTCCAACAGAATAGCGCGTTGTTGTCTCTTTTGATAACAGGCTCCAGGCAGAAGGCCGGTTCCGCTGCGGTTCTGACCGGGCGTGTGACTTTCGCTGTCACAGATGACCTCATCAGTGTTTACCAGCTCTCCTTTTAAGTTTGTTCAAACCTGAAATACTCCCTAACCAGAAGTTGTGTTCTTTTTAGACACCAAGTCGGCTGGTGCACAAGCTGCCATTTTTCTCGACGTGCCGTCTCAGCGCTGTCACTTGATGACATCACATTCATAAACTTTATGGAACGTCTCGAAAATTAAATTTGAAGCATGTAAGTGATAGTCTAACACTATTGGTTAGTTCTGGTCGGCGCTCAGTTTCCTATTGCACTCTGCGGGGCAGGGGCCGTGCTTAGCAAAAAAAAAAAGAATAAACGAATGACATGTTGCTTACATGTTATCACAGTACATGATGAGATAATCACTTTTACGGATTTCTGACAAACCATACATCATCTCTGAAAGGGGAAAACTCCAGAAAGCAGCTTTAAGTAAAACACAAAATTCAACCATGCATCTTTTTTTTCATCCTCCTATGTGCACTGTTTTTTATGACGATATTGGAACTGACACCGTTGCTTATTTTTTTTAACACCGGCTGTATATGGTAATACCGTAAAACCATCCAAGCCTAGTTCATGATCCAAAACATGCTGGAACCAGACTGCAGCGCCAGGTATGTCAGCTCTGTTTTTTCTAAGTTCCAACAAAGCGGTCCGCCAATCGGAAGTTCCAAGCCTAATATTCTGGCCACAGGGGCGATAGGGGCTGGGTGACCTTTCATTAAGGTCATTTTAGCATAATCCGGACTCAAGAAAAGGATTTAAAAATGTGATCAAGTTGCAAAGCATCCCTTTAACAAAGCTGCTTTTTACATGCCGGAGGTCTCTTTTGTTTGTGAAGACCCACACTAACAACTAGCCAAACAGAGGACAAATAAAATCATTTACGTGTCTCGTTCACTCAATCTTTCAATAAATCTGCTGCTGTCTCTAATGTAAATGCTACAAAAGACTCTAGCGCACCTCTTTCTGGATGTAGGAATTTGAGTAGTGGAAGGTGGACAATAACTGGATTGTGAGTTTGACTCATAAATATTCTCAACATGCAAATAGCTCACGTCTACATGGCTAACAGAAACAGGACTCTTCTGCTGCCTTCGTTCACTCTTCTTTCTTGTGCAAAAAATGCAACGCTGATGTTTTATCTCCACAAATAACACAAGCCTGAAGAAGTTCTGCTGTGTGGTGGAGTTGTTAATGCTAACAGTTAGCTTTCATAAGCTGAGACATGCTATGCCCTGTCCTGGACACTAAACCAACAACAGCCTTCCCCCATCACGACCCAAGATTGGTGAGTCCATGAAGGTTTATTTCCCTGTTATGTAGAAGAGACTGGCATTTTCTGATCCAGGTGTTCTATTCCCTTTCTGCAGCTTGGAACCTGAATCTTAAATCTATGGGTTGCATATAAAAAAAAATAATGTTTAAACTTTTCTACAACAGAAACAGAATATTTAAAAGAATTCACTCATGAGTTAATAAAATGCAGATTGATGCATCACGTCACCAGATTTTAATATTTATTTATGACAGCTGCTGATTTGGGGAAAATGAAGGTAAGGAGGAAAGGCCCATGCGAGTGCCTTGCTCAAGGACAAGGACGAGGTTGATGGAGGGGGTGGGGGTGGTCTGATGATGCATCTCCTGCACAGTAAGCTGAGAAGCCTCCTGTTTCAGGATACCTGAGACGGAACATTCAGATGGATCTGCTGCAGCCGCCGCAGCTTCCGGTTCTGTGGTAAAGCGCCGTGTTTGGCTCGATTGGTCACCAGCAGCTGACCGCGCCCTCAACCCAGAGCAGCTACCTACTAAACTATTACCGTCAAGTGTCGGCTGAGGAGGAGGAGGAGGAGGAGGGAGGAAGAGGTGACGCTGCTGCTGCTGCTGCTGCCCTCAGTGCGGCGGAGGAGAGAAAGCATCTTTGTCTGCACAGAGAAGCTCCGGGCTTCCCTGCCTTTCTGCCTCCATCGACACATCAGCATCAGAGCACCCCCTCTGAAGACACACGCACAGAGGTTTTATTCACCTCCCTCTGATTTGGGACTCTCCGATTTTTCCCGGCTGGAATAATCCTCGCTGGATCCATGTGTCGGATCGCTGAATGATGCACAGGTAAATGGCACCGTGGCGCGCGCACCTCCTACACACAGACGACCTTATGGACGGAGGCAGGATGTTTGAATTATCATTTTTATTTCTAAGCTGCTTCAAACCAGCAGCCGTGTTTGTACATTTATTTATCTTTCTCCAGACCTTTTATTCTGAGGCTGCTGCCTAATTACTGTGAGACTTCTGTCCAGGTGGGGTTATATTTATTTATTTATTTATTTATTTATTTATTTATTTATTTATTTATTTTCAGTAAATGTAACTAAAAGGTGGAGGATTTCAACTGCCTGTAAAAGAGGAGAGGTTTTCAAATTCAACACGGTCGCTTTTTGCGTGCCTGAAGACATGCCCTGTGGTCGAGCTGCATGCAACACATCCACTCAGGGTTTATTTTTTACTTTGAATGGAGCCGGGGGGGATACGGGCTGCACAGGCTATTGTTTGATTTCACCGGATGCAACAAGCCTGCTTGGCTCTTGGACATGTTCAAAATTGTATGCAATAATAATAATAATAATAAGTGAAGTTGAGGTGCGTTTGAATCATGCAGAAGGCAGGGCCCCTGTCTGGTTAAAATGCTCGAGGTTGCCTATTTATTATTGAGAGGGATTTCGTGTTGTGTCCCAGTGCTCTGGCCAGTCTAAAGATAAGGAGAAGCAGGAGGAGGAGTTGTGTCAGGTATCTCCATCTGCAACAAAAACTGGCTCAAATTCAGCTGATTTCCCTCTTAAATAACTGAAGTTGAGGGTTTTGGTCAAATCTGCAAGCATCTCTGCATTATTTAGAAATAACAGAGAAGTTACCTCCCTGGATGGCATTGACGTGCAGAACACATAGGCCATGTATCCAGAGCTGTTATTTAGAAATGATCTGGTCCCAGCTTTAAATATCCCACCGTAAATAATTAGCTTAATACCCAAAATCTGATGGGAGGTGCCCAGAGGTTGAACTGCTGCTGGTCTCCTCCTGCAGTTGGCTTGCTAATTCTCCTCCAGATGTAAATCCTCACATATTGTTACTGTCTCAGCTAAATTGTAAATCAATGATCCCAAGGTGAAGAAAAAAACGAAAACAATCACCTAAATTAGGTTTGGCTGCACGGTGATCAAGTGTTTCATCCTGAGACTTCAAGTTTTCTCATCAGCAGCTGGTTCAGTCAAATCAAATTCATTTAAATTATTCTCAGGCTTTCCTAAACACATTTGTAATCCTTCAGATGTAAAAAAAAAACTAATTGACATAATGCTGATGTCACCGAACATGCGTTGTAGTTTGGATGTTTTGGGATGTAGCCAAAGGAAATGGTTTGTTTTAGTAGATTTTCTTTGCTTTGCTCTTTTGCTCCAGCTTCTCATATTTGCAGCTTAATGGTACAATTTTCATGCATATTTTCATTACCTTTCAGCTAAATTTTGACACAATGTGTTATAGCCAAGATTCTGCTCATTATTCAGGAGCTATTCTGGGGTCTTTAGTGTCGTACGTACCACACTTGTGTTTCTATCATCTGACTCACAAGGCATCTGCCTCCACGGCTGCTTCCACTGAAAGGCTGTGGCTTTCTGAAGCTTGAGAGGGTTTTAAAGGGAAATAGAGTCAACATCAGCATTTCACTGAGCTTAGACCAGCGCTGACTGGTTGGAGATCTGGGATTGTAACTGGAACCACATGATTGGTGTGTTGAACATGGCAATGTTGCATCAAGAAGGCTGTGGGTTTGAATCCTGGCTGCAGCCTTGGAGTTAACATGTTGTCCCCATGTCTATTTTTGTAGCTCAAGCCAAAGACATGACTATAAGGTGGATTGTAGTTTCTTTTGATCAAAGCGTCTTAAATAAATTAAACACTCACCATTTGTGTAACATTCTTGAAAGAGTTGTGCAAATGTTCTCGTTGCAGTTTAGTCAAAGGGACTGAATTGTGTCTGAGTTTTAATTTAACCCCATTTTATCAGAAATGTTTTTATATTTTTGTTTATTACATTTACTGCTACTGCAAAGAGACATTTCTAAGAGTTTCTAAATTATTTCAAATTGTTCACAAAGATTATTGATTTCCCAGTGAGTTGCAAGGAATTGTTGATATATTGCTAAAATTTAAAAGAAGTAGAACTCTGAAAAACCATTTTTAATTATTATTTCTGATTCTAATCAGTCAGTGTGAGTTTTTCATGCAGGCTGAACATGAAAATAGTCTCCTACACCTATCTCCTGCATTAGCTTCTGATAGAAAATAGACGGTGAAAGTCTAGGATCAGAAAAGCCTGACAGATCTACGTCACACTGTCACTTAACATTCATGGACTCACCCATCTTGAAGGGTGTTGATGGTTTAGCATCCAGGAAACAGCAGACAACTTCTGGCTTGTAATAGTTAACTGTTAACATTAGCAACTCCGCCACATGGCAGAGCCCTCAGGCTTGTGTTATTTGTGGAGATAAAACATCAGCGTTGCAGATCAGAGTCAGTGTTCGAGTCACATTGCTGTTATCCAATCCACTGC